TAATAAATTGTGATTGATGATCCGAAAAGTGTCGCAAACTTCTTTTGAACGTTAATTTCGAAGGAAACCGAATAAGAAGATTTACCAGAGTGGAGATTTTTTTAAAATATCCTTGAAATTTTGAGGTTAAGATAAATTTTTAGAAAATTAAAAAAAAAAATTATTAATTTTTACGGAATGAAGACTCTTTTATGATAGTGAAAGCTCGAAGAAAGTAAATGTGAGAGGTTTATCCGATGAATCTTATATTTCTTCTATTTTTGGATAAATTTATTAAACCGGGGATTAAAAACCGTATAAGGTAATATCGAATCAAAAAATAAGATTAAGTAAGACGTTGGTATCAATTTGAAATTTTCTTCGGAAGAAATCAGGTCGAAGAAGGAAGAAAGCAGATTTTTCTTCTTTATCTCTCACCGCAAAAGGCGCGTCCGGTTGATTTGCGAAACAAATGGCAAAACGTGGGCCGCAAACGAGTGGCAACGTGCAACTATAAATGGAACCTGTAATTCCAAACCATCGACCGTGTCACAAGGAAAATAAACCGTGAAAGGAATCGAAATTTTCAAAGAATCTCTCTGAAAAGAGAAATTCTTTCTAAATCAGCTAAATATTACGATAACATGTAATACTAAGAATTGTGAAATATAGATATAATACCTAAATATAAAATCTAATAAAAGATTAAAAGATTGTTCCTTCGATAAGATAAGCATCGCAAATTCTATAAATTTTAAACTATTAAAGATTATTACAGATTTATAATACACGATATATATATATATATGATAAATATTAAATATAATAAAAAATATTGATCATAATATATATTCATTTATAACAAATAACAAGCAGAAAGGAGAAAGAAGAAAATAGTTCCTCTGATTACATAAAAAAGACTATATATTACGGGTATACGTATCTATATCTACATTCCTGACACTAATTTCAAGATTTCAACATAGTGATCAAGATCGATAATCAATCCTTCCCGCAAATTGTATCATTAGATTGTTTGCTATATTAAACCGCGAAGAAAAAAAAGATAGTTCCTCCTCTCTCGACACATTCCGCAAATTCTCGAAAGGTCAGCGTACCAATTAAGCCTCGTAGAGCACGGTCTTGTCATCGTTTCGTTGCTTCGAAACGAAAAAGAAAGCAACAAGTATATAAACGAGTGGTACGTAAAAAATAATTAATCGTGCCGCGATAAAGAATACACACATCGAGAAAGGTTTCGTCGTGCAACAGGGATGGGGTGTTGAAATGCCAGAGGGACATTTTGAAAATCTTTGCTTCGGCGCATGCGTGCCGACGCACTCGGCGCCCGATGGAGCACGATGAAGCTGTCCCTCGGTGGATGAAGAAGGGTCGAGACCCGGAGAAGAGAAGCTTTTCTCATGGTGTGCGTCGACGTCGGATCAGCCAGGACACACAAGACGTCGCGACGCGTCGTTCGCCGATCCTCGCGGTTTAATCTCTTGATTTCACACCTCTCGCTCGATTCAGACTTGACCCATCGATTGATCCCATGGACACGATATAATAAAAATAAAATCAAAAGAGGAATACGAAATAAATATTTGGAAAATATATAATTAGAAAATATAAAACGGAATAAATAATAAATGTATAATAACGTGAAACGATACAAGGATGATAAATATAAATAAAATAATAGGAAATAAAGAATAGAAAATAAAAAAAAGAAACGATATAATAAATATAAAAAAAGAAAAAAAGAAAGAAAGGAAGGAAGAAGTGTAGTATATTCGGAGAAAGAAAATTATGCCGGGTGAAAAGAGGGAGAGAGGCTTGAGACAAACGACGTCAGGAATAAGAGAGGGTTCTCCGTCAAAAACGAGCGAGCTTGAAGTAAGAACACGCGGTAGCTCGATGATCCCTCTTCCCCGTGCAATGCCACATAACCCAAAGACCGTGAAGACGGAGAAGAATCGTTTGAGATTGATCATGGAGAACAACAGAGGTCTTGTGGACGCGTTGGAGAAGGAGCGAAGGATCAACGTGGACGAGGATGAGGATGGATATCGAGTGTCCTCCACTAGGGAGCCGGCTGCACCGCGATACTGTGACCTGTCCTGCAACGTGTATCGATGTCCTGTGCGAAAGGTGATTCCCTTCTTCGTTTCAAACTTCTTATTTTTCAAACTTCTTCTTCCTTTGCTTGTCATCGATCATTGATGAAAACAGAAATCTAATAAAATTTATCAAAGGATCGAGGCGCGAAATATTGAATTAGTGAATTTATTGTAGTGGAAAGAAAAAACACGACGATTTTTTTCTAATATCGATGCAAAGCCGAATAGATTGACTTATTTTAGATTTAATTAAGGGTTCCTAATATGAATTTTATTTTTTGTGAAGTTTCTTTCGATATTAAACTATACTGATGCAATTATCAATTCTTTTATTTGGATTTTAATTTTCGTTGATAAATTTTCATGACATCAATATGTTTGTTGAAGTCTTTTTTTATTTTATTATTGTAATTTTATTTTACGTAACTTTACCGTTTTATGTCGAGATCAATACTTTATTAATAGCTTGATATTGTGTTGTCGAAGTCTGTTATTTCATAATTATCATTAAAATTTCGAATATTGTCCTTTTAAAAATTGACATAATAATATTTTTAATGGATGTTTTTTTAATTGAATCTTTTAAACTCTTTTGGAATAAATTTACTAATATTACTCGTTCATCGTTCTCATTTTCTATTTCGTGACATTGAAAAATTGCACTTGAACCGACACAAAGGGGAATAATTAGATATAATTGCATGAAAAAATGCGGGTCGCCTTTCTTATCACGATTTCTTTAATCCCCATCGCTTCTAATTCGATTCATTAAACGCATCGCATAGACAATGTTCCACTTGAAAATTTTCTGAACCATAAGCCATTCATTTCTCTCCATCCACGAGTCATGGTACTTTTAACATTCGAATTGCGCTCTGAAAAACGTTTTGCATTTTGAAAAGGACCTTTAAACACAATTCTTTTAATAATTTTATTCAGTAAGTCTTATCCTTACATGTTTCGAAACGATTTGGTTAGATCTTTTTTGCATCACTGATTTCCTTTTAATTGTGGATTCGATTTATAATCCTTAAAGTATCTTGTGATGAAAAGATGTGATTGTTGAATATTATTTAATTTTTCTGTAAAAAATTTTTTATTATAAACGATGTCGTCAGGATCACTTGGATAATAATTTGTTAACTAATAATATTATATATAAATTACATTTGAATAAATTTTATTTGAAATAATAAATAGATGAGTTATATTTGCGTTGACGAGTGATACATTTCATATTTTTGTTAAAAAATTTTTAATAAATCATCTATAAACTTTGTTATGCAACAATTTAATCTTTATTTTCAATTTTAAGATACATTGGCATAGTTTGAACGAAAAAAAGATAAAGTGGGACGCATTGTATATTACTTTGAAACAATTGAAGAAATTTTAAGAGGATAAAAATAAATTAAAGATGGTAGTATTTGAATTTACGATTTAATGTTTTTTTTCCTTTTTGTGTACGCTTTTGTTAGCATCTCATGTGTGTTAAATTTTCAAATTAAACTTAAAACATTTTTCAATATTTCGATGGGTATAATATACGTACATTTTCAGTTTCTCTTTGATTCAGAAGATACTATGAATATATTATGAGGGATGAATGATATGAAATACTTACTTAACAATAAGATAAGAATGACGTCAAATCTACAAAGGAAACAAATAGACGATGATAATATTAATGTTTATAAAATATGTGACGTTGAATTTCAATAATTAAAACGAAGATTAAACGTTAAATTAGATTATGCAAGGAATGATTCATAAAGATGTTTTTTAATATGATTATTCGCCGCGGCATTCAATGCATAATTCGATAACTCCTGATAAATCGTTCAACAAATTGACAGACATATTTCTATACAGTGCAAGCTTTCCACGAAAGGATACAATGGAAATTACATGATAATTTCTCTGTTTTTCTATCTTATCTCAGGCTATCCTTCCATACAAAGAATTTTAATTGTATTACAATTTGAAGGAAACATCGTACAATTAAGTAATTAATGCTAAGAAGCCGTATTTAAAGTAATGTTTATTTTCTGTTGCATTATCATTTGACCATCATTATTTCTTTAATTATCTAATAATGCATATTGAATAATATAAAAGATAATATTAATAGAATAAAATTCATTTATTTTAAAATTATTTTTCGAGGGAATTAAATTTAAAAATTTAAATAAGAATTTAATCTAAAAAATATTATGTAGAATAACTTTTTATACAATTTATTCATATTATCCACTTTAAAAAATATTCGCGTTTTGACTTGATCTTCTTGATTTTCTTCAAAATAATTTTTTTTCTTCGATTTATTTTTGCATATAGAATTATTTTTCGTTTGATTGGCTATTTTATTCTGTATTACAGTTTCGATGTTGAAATAGAAATTTCTCATTAAGAAGAAAGTTTCGTAGTCTTAAATAATTTAAACTCGATTCTATATCGTAGATCGTAGATTCTTGATTACTTCTCACGATGGTACATACTATTTCGTCACAATACATGGCACGTTCATTCGCTTTGTCGCTTTATTTCTTACAATTGGACCGAAATAGGGCAAAGAAGAGCACTCGAGAGATTTAATTCTGTCGTGCTAGCGTCGCGTTTAAAATAGTAGGAGTATACTTGAAGCGATCATTCGAAAGCATAAAGTCTTTAACTCAGATTTGAATTCGTATTGTGATCATTACAAGCGAATTTTTCAAATTCTTTGGAAAATATTTATAATAGAAGATTTTGTTCTGAAAATTGAATTTATTTTATGTCTTATGAAAATGAAAATCTTGTGAAATCTTATGAAAATCAGAATATTTTCGATATGTGATTTAAAAAATATATTTTTATTTAATGAATAAATTTTATTTGTGAATGAAAATATTTTAATCGAAATTTTGTTTTAATTTTTATTTATGAAAATAAATATATATATATCGTTTTTACATTATATTAAGTTATACATAAAAATTTTCAAATAAAAAATCGTTTGTGATTTTATCATATATATATTAAATAAATGTATGAAATAATTCATCAATAATTATAATTCGTAATTTGATAATTATTATTATCTAATAAATATTTTTTGTTAATTAATTATTTTTACTTTTAGAAAAGAAAATTTGAATTTTTAATTCTTAGACAACAATTTTTACGAAAGTGAAATTTTTGTCTCGATTCCAGAACATCGAAATCGATCGTCAACGAGTTGTATTTTTATTTTTGACTCGACCAAGCAAGGAAGTGTATTTTAGTCACGTGCAGCATATATGCGAGCAGAACACTTCATGTTCCTCGTCGTGTATGTTCTTCAGGTTCAGAAAAATCTCTTCGTCTTATCAAAATATCGTGTCAAATTGAAAATTAACCTCTTAATTCTTAGATAAATCAATCTTATATTAAATTTTTGATTTCGACAGAAAAGATAGGCAAATTAAGTTATAAAATACATATCCAAACTAACAAATTATTTTCAGATTCTCAAAATTAATTTATCGCCTTTACTCGAAGCAATTATTTCAATTTCCTGAAAATTTAACGCGCTTTCGAGCGCAAGATTCTTCAACTTCCGGTGCGTGTCATAATTGAAGTCGTATATATAGTTTCACCAGAAGTTCCCACTAATTCACAGCCGATGAATCTTCCGGATAAAAAAGATTAAAATAATAGAATACAAGAGCAACGATGGAATTTATTCAGCTTTCACCTTAGAACCTTCGTTTCCTTTCTCTTGCCAGCTTCTTATCCGGCCATCTTATGCTACCATTGGAAAGATAAGCCTCTGATTCCTATGTAAATAAAATTGAGAGAAAAGGGAGGCTTCTGTCGTGAAGCGTAACGATGGAATGATTAGGTTAACCATTTATTGGCTAAAAAATTTAATTGTTTTAAAGACAAGTAACAAATAACATAATATCTGTTTAAATTTCTTCTTCGTTTCATGATAAGAAGAAATTAAAGAAAAGATTGATATCAAATCAACATTGAGAAAAGTTTATAAAGATATATATAGACTTATAGAAAATCAAAATTATCAAAAAATTAATATTGCTTTTCATCCTAAAAATATATATTATCTGTTATTAAAACTATTAATTATATAAATTTTCTTTACATATATTATATAAAATAAACTAAAATAATGTAAGATAAATGATAAGATTGCAATTTCAAAAATTGATGATATTTAAACAATAATTTATACAATAAAACGAAAATATAAAATTGAGGTTAATGTTTGAATGCACTGTGAATCACGAGCTAATTAAGAATGATTCATCATTAATTCAATATTAATTTCTTATTTAATATGCTACTTGTGAGTTAAATAATATCTTGCTACTTAATGATGATTTACAACAGAACAGAATTAGAATTTAGAAAAATCGTTATTTTTTCTATGTAACAGTGTATGTATAATGAAAAAAGCATTAACAATATGTAAATATTTTTTAAAAATATTTAATTATAATTTTATTTTATTTATTATTTTTAAATATAATTATTCAATGTGAATATTATATTATTTTTCTTTCTTGGGTATTTTTTATTCGTGATCATTTCTAGATTTGATTTAAATTAGATTTAGATTATGTAAAAAAATAGTTGA